TATGGTATAAAACTTAATGAATAAGCCTTATGTGCATTCTTGATTATAATTAGTTATCAAAAACTAATTATTGCCGCAATGGCTAAATTTGGCCTAATAAACTTGCACAACTTCATTTGTACAATATTAATGGAAAATGATACAATTTTTCACTTGATGCAAGTATTGGCACAACCTTTATTGAAGATCAAAAGCATGAATCATAGCGGTATGTCCCCTAAATTAAAGTGTGAGTAATACCATATATGCATCACATGCATTTTGATTCTCAACTCAGGTTCTTTATGAATAAACCCTACGTTTATTCTTGGTCAAACCTTATGGATGTTTCTCAAATAAATAGGCGCATAACCATAGGAGAAACCATCCAAATTACATAGAGGTGACAACATAAATGTACGTACAATATAGTCACATAATAAGTTCCATGTACCCTATATGATCCCTAAAATTCTTATAAGCATGCCTTAAGTAAGGATCTGAAACTATTAGCAAAAATGCTAATATATCGCACGACTAACTCATTATCTTTAATATTATCACTGACAACTAAGTTTTCAGAGTTGACACGTCTGTCACTCCTACTCTCATTAATCTTAGCCAAAGATAATAATTGAGTAGTCCATATTCCAACGACTTAGATAACAAATTCATGAGTCTAAGCCCACAAACGGAACTTTAAACATACACCTTATAAATGATCTCCAAAAAAGGAAAGAAGCCCAACTTTCATGTTATAGAGCAATAACGGGGATTTATTAATGTAACTTTATGAAACAACAAAATATTGTATCATCATAAAACAAAAAACCCTCAAGATTCATCTATATGAACCAACATCATGAGTCTTTGCATGTTTTATGTCTCTCAACATTGAATCTTGAACCTTTTAAATCTTAATGGCCAAGGATCAATTTGAGTATTATACTTTATGTAATTAGTGACAAAGTGATCAAAATAACTTAATGATTTCAGTTATGAAATTGTATTGATCACTTGATATTTGTACACACAAAAGAATATTAATGTACTAAGCTATTAATCTAATTTAAATTTTCATGCATAATAAATACACATAAAAGAAATTAGACTAATACCTCAAAATGTACACATAAAAATACTTTTGAATATGTACATATATCATAACTTTATGATAGAAGACGCCAATTTATTTATATTATAACCATATGTTAAATAAATTGACCTTTCTATCTGTAATGATAAAACTCACCAAAACTATATTCCAATGCATAATTGCGTGTGGGCTAAATTATGATCATAGTTTGGTGTTTTTACCCTAATTAATTATATAAACATAACAAAATTGCCTGTGGGCTAAATTTTATTATATCATATAATTAATCACAATCAATACGTCTATGACTGTATGTGATCTCACAAAATTTCAATTAATCAAAGATACCGTGGCTACTACTTAATTAATCAAAATTATAAGATCACTAGACAATTTTCTTAATATCTTAGGCATCAACTTTAAAGCCTAAAAATAATTTTGCAACAATATGATAAACAATTCCAAGTGTACTCCCAGGAAAGTTGGTTGGGACGGAGCCTCATTAAAAATAACCAACTCCTTAGACAGAGTAATGTTTCAAGGGAACTAGTAGCACATTGCCCCTTCCCGAGAAACTTTTCACCGGTTCATGTTTTCTCACACTAAAGGCATAATTGACGAGCATTCTTTCCAAATCTTTAATAGTTCGCATATGGAAAGACTTTTAATCTCAAGTGAGCATTCTAAATGGTCTAAAGGTGCCTAAACATAATGCACTGCCATTTATTATTCCACACACAAGGTTCACCTTAACAAGGAATTATTATAATTCCTATCTTATGCAATTCCAAAGGCATAATTTAATACACATAACTAGAAAATATAATGTTATATGCTAGTGAACAATTATATGTGAAATTCAATATGCTCATATCCAAATAAATTGTACACCATAATAACAATTTAAAATGAGCTATAAAATTATTATTCAAATAACAACATAAATCCAAAACTTGAAGGATTATAAAATTTGAATAAAAATTTATAATAACCATATACTTTTCAATTATTGAAAAGTTTTAACTTGTAGGCCCAAAACAAAAGTGATTCAATGCATATAGTAAACTTTATGAGAACTTGCTTAAAGTTGTAAATTCTAACCATATCAAAACCATATGATATGTTGACATTTACAAAATAAATTCTCATAAAACTAAATTGCATAATTTAAACCATAATATTATGCACTTAATTTAATTATATGCGTAAAACAAACTCAAAATATAAATATAAAATTAAATATTCATACTTAATCAAAGTGGGCATCACAAATAATGATAACAGTGTTACGACATATTGATTCCTCGGTTCAAAATCGATAATCATTATTACTGTAATAATAATTATGTGAGAGTAATAACAGAACAATCAATTTTCCCCAATCGTAACCCCTGGCATTTAATAGCAATAACTATAAAATGATATTATCATTATTAACATACTGATGACCTTCCATCTGCTGCAAATCGCCACAAGACTTCACATCGGCGAAGACAGCGGTTGACCACCAAAATAGGAGTCGCAATGTTGCTGACACAGTTTTCCGACAGCACCCACTCCATAGTGCTCCTTACCTCCAGTGAAAGCTCGCCAGAAAAGGAAAAAGACAACAATTCCAGGCAAGAACAAAATATATACCAACAGTAACAAACCCAGGTATATTCATATAGTAATAAATATTTTATATGCATTTGCAAATTAAATGCTTTATACTACGTGTCATCATTAAATATTTTATATCAAAGATAAACGGATGGCCAATGATCATTTATATGTTTATGAGTATGTACACAGTGAATTGCAAACTTAGATATACAAATCTATATATATACTTAAAAAAGGCAACAATTCCATCAACAACCATCCGAACAGTGATAGAGGACTTTTGATTATGTTGATTTTCCTTTATTCGAACATCCAAATGCATATATCCATTTCATATAGAAATATATAAAATATACACCATAGATAACAAAGTACATATATGCATATATACTTCTATATTGTAAAAATTTAACAGCAATAGATATACACACTTGATACATATTTTCAAGGAAAAAACAGTAAAAACATATACTGCATATATATAACTCAAAATATGTATCTATCAAGTAATTTAAACAACTAGGCAGAGATTAAACAGGCTCTGATACCAAATGTTAGAAATACGCAAATGAAATAAACATATTTCATATAATCTAACCTCAATAGCGGAAGCATAGGATCAAACATACCTCCAGCCATAGTTGATACCTCCATTGGATTGCTTGAAGAACAATAAAGATATGCTTTTGTCTACCACTTGGTCTCCTATTCTACTAGAAGGTGTAGTCACAATGTCACAGGAGCAGTGGGAGGACCAAACATATATATAACCTACGTGCCATCATTATAGGTTAAGTAACGGAAACCGTTACTTCCGTTTCAAACCACAACATAATGGCCATAAATGGCCTATTAACTTGCACCACTTAATGGTGACATAATGGAAATGTTACACTGACCTCACAGGAACCTGACCCTATATATATATATATATATATATATATATATATATATATATATATATATATATATATATATATATATATATATATATATATATATATATATATATAATTCTAATCAGGTGTGAATAATTGGTTAGGTGTGAATGTGTGGTTGCTTGCTGGCCTTTGATTGTAGACGATCTCACGGTTATGAGTTACTGTGCATTTTTTGCCTTCTTTGGTTGCACAGCAATATTATTTGTTGTGCTTTCGGCCGTTTCTTATGCACTGTTATGTGTTGCGGTACTTTCGGCCGTTTCTTTGGTTGCACAGCAATATTAGAATGAGGACTACAATACACCACACAGTGTTCGAAAATGCAATATAATGAAATGCCACAAAATACACCACACACCAAAAAAATTGCACCACATATAATGATGTATTTTTGAACACAATAGGATACATTTATGCATAACTAATGGTGTACACCGCACCGAAACGGGAAACTCCGTTCTCACAGGAACTTAACTATATATATATATATATATATATATATATATATATATATATTATTTGTAAAAAAAAATTTAAGTTGATAATGGAAATGGAATTTAACTTGATTCACATTATAAGGTGAACTATGCTTCATACATGGTATGTATAATAAGAATCGAACTTAACCTACATTTCTATCTTGATATGATCAAGTAAAAAATGATAAAAATGTACTTGGTGTTATATAATTTACACTTAAACATATATTAATGAATTAATGGTTATATCGCATAACAATTCTCAAGTTGTTAAGCATCTCCAATAAGATTTGCATATTTTTAATTTAGTGATTTTTTTAATGAAAAGTCAGAAAGAGAGGGAAGAGAGAAGAGGAAAAAATTCAAACAAAATAAAATAATAATAAATAATACAAGGAAAATTTAAGTGCTTAGCTAGCGCGTGCAGTAGTGTTCCCAACCCGCACCTGATGTAGCCTCTTATACTCTTATTCCTATTTAATGGGTCTCAGACAAATTTTACATATGCAGGAGAAAAAACATGTAAAAAATTGGGTCCAAAAACCCTAGCAAGTTTTTCTGCTATTGTGAATGCTCTTATATACTTATGGTGACCAATTAACCATAAATTAAGTTTACACATCCGAGGTTAGATATGTATTAATTTACGGTAATAAAATACAAAAATATATTATTGGAAATTTTTTGTTATTATAAGATATATCTATTACCCACAAGTTATGTTTTGTGGGTAAATAATTTCATTAGAGGTTCACATTGAAAATGTCAAAGTTTCACCGGGTGAACCACATAGCATGCATGAATGATGAGGGCATCCTTAAATTTCTATTTTGTATAACGATTCCCAAGCATATATATATACCGCGCCTCCAACATCCTTCATTTCCGATTAATGTAAAACACATCTACATAAATAAATCAATTAAATCTTACTTTTTGAGGAACATACAGATCGGAGAATTTGAAAATGGTGAGTTTGAAGGGATGCATTGTGGCATTGTCGGTTGTGTATCTCAGCTTGTCGGCACTTGTGAATGCCGCCGAGGCTGCTGCCGGTGCCGGCGGCATCAGCTACTGCGCCACGGCCTCTGACAAAGCGATGTGCGAGAATGTGACGAAGACCGCCACAAATTGGAACCAGGCAATGACTATGGGGTTAAAGGAGGCGATGAAACACTCGGATTCAATCATCCTTAAAAGTAAAACGGTGTCTTTGGGAAAATCCAAGTGCGGTGAGACCTACGATAACATCAATGCCAGGTAAATTAATTAATTAATACAGGACAAATGTTTTATTTCTCCTCCATTATTTTCTTCTGAAGAAGGTTGAATCCTCACCGATAAGATAAATCAGTGGCTTAACAGATAGGGCCAAATATGGATATGCACATGGAATCTGTCCACATTAGGCACAATACTATCGATATGCACAGTGCCGGGGCTAAGTTTCGAAATTTCTCTTCTTCCTATTTACTAAACTCGTGCTGGCTCTCCTCTATTATTTTACCTCTTGATGTGACTTTCATTCATTGGTTAGGCAAAACAATCAACCAGGCAGAGATTATAATGACTCTGATACCAAATGTTAGATATAGAATAATTTAACTATACTGAACAATAGAGAGATCTGACTTCGTATAAGAGCAGAAGCGTAACTGTGTTGATCTTCAGTCATAGTTGATCGATGTTCCTGTTGTGCTGCCTCTTAACAGTAGACCGTTAGTCATAATTTGCCTCGTGACTCAGAACCCTAGATGGTGTACTGAGCAATAGTATGAGTACGGTAACTATTGTGCTATATTAAATTGGGAAAATCTTATCTATCCATGAATTGGTAAACGACTTCAGTTACTAATTAATTAGATGTTGCTACGTCATGATGGTTGAGTTGGAAAGAAAAAAATATATAAAGAGTATCATGCATAAAGATATTTGATTTGTATGTTAGTTAAATAATACTAATGTGGTGTGCAGATTGAAGGAGTGCATGGATTTGGTCAACAAAGGGGACGCTAATGATGAAATAAACTTCAAACTCTCGGCCGCGGTAACAGGTCTTGAAGACTGTGAAATTGCACTTGAAGTTTTGAAAGATGAAAATACTCCTTTCTATGAATCCCATCGCCATTTCAATCACATCCTCGATGTTTGCTTGGCAATTGATAAATCCAAGCATGAAAAGTAAGTGAAAGTATCATATTCTCTTTTTTTTACCAAGTTTCAAAAGATTAAGCGATCATCCCCTCTCTTTGGCTGCAGCATTATATTGCTCTCACTCAAGTATAATCCAAGTTTCCGATTAATTTTTATTGCCTTATTTCTCTCCCTAGCTCAATGTGCGATTAAACCTACTACTGTCAAAGTGGGCTTGCTTGCTTCATCGCGGGTCTAATTTTCTTCTATAATAATAAAGTCAAAACATTTTAGGTAAATAAAAATATATATGTTTTCCCGCCCATAGGAACCGACATCGTTTTGGCTTGAAAATGTTTTTCTGTTTGTCTGCACCACCGAAGAAATCTGATTTTACATATTTAATACCTATCTTGGGACTTGAAATTAGTTATTTTTGGTATTCCATTTTCCAATGCTATTAATTGCTTTTTGACTGATGAAATGATTGAAGGACAGATAGTTTAGTTTTACAAGTTATGTGAAAATAGCCTGTAAATAATACATGTTTTGTGTTGAAATCCCACCCTGAAGGTCTGAACTCTGAAGCACAAAGAGAAGAGCACAAAGAGAGATAAAGGGCAGAAAACAAGAGGTTGGTGGCAATATGCACTTCCTCCATTTTTTACATTTATGATATGAACCTCCTTCATTTTTCATTTTTAATATTTATGCAGTGTGTCCATACTAAGCTTTGCTTCTCCCATTGAAGAAGTGTAATCTTGCATTACCAAGGCCATTGACACCTAAAATAATCAAGAATAAAGTATGATCATCATAGCAAACAAATTATATATAGGATTACAGACATGATATATTCAGTTTATTGTCAGATTTAGAAGCAAAAGTAAATCATTATATTTACACAATCACATGCACTAGAATACAGATGTATGTCTTATATATATATAATAGATTGCCTTTATAAAATTTCAAATTTGTCACATTTTTAATGACATTAGCCAAATTTAACATTAAGAGCATCCTTATCAGTTGGGGTTATTAGGGGAAGAATGTAAGAGTGAGTAGGAAAGAGAATAATGTGGGAGGGGAGAGAAAAAAAAAATCAAAACTGATTTTATAAAAAAATATATATAAAAAATAAGTATCATTTCTTTATTGGTTCTTTATCCTTCATCATTAATTATTTTTCTTGGGCAGAGTAATATCCCAACATTTGCAGATGCTCCCCACCCCTTCTCTCTCTTGATTCTCTCTCTGCCACCATGGCATTTTGGTTCAAAAATAGTGAATTCTCCCCTATTGATGCTCTAAAAAATGGTTAGAAATTGATATCACAGTCTTTATAACTTGAACCTCTATCAACCGTTTAGACTTGAAAAAAAAACAAGCAGTAATATTAAACATTCTGCAAATAATAACATTAACATAAAATAAATACATAAGTCCAAATTCACATAAGATAAACACTACTAATTAAATTTTAATCATATATCAAGCAACTGTTTTGGCTACTTCAAAAACAATTAATTATTTAAAATCATTTATAATTATTTGGTTTTATTTTTTTGTTCATGTTTTCTTTCAACGATGTTATCAATGTATTCAGGTTTATGAAAATGCAACTCTAAAGTCTAAACACTAACCCATAATTCAGAATACTCTTTTTATTCTTTTTTAATTTAATTATATTTAGTAAAAATATATATATATATTTATAAATGTTAAGTTATCTGTGTCGGATTTTCAGAATTATGAAAATACAAAAAGTGCATAAATTGTGTAAATGTTGATATGTAAAACATACATTTCTCCCTTCTCCAGAATCTTTAGTCGGTTTTTTTCGTCAACAATCCAAAAACGTGATTCGTAGCAAATTAACTCTATCAACTGGGTTTGAGTTTGCTTTTTGTAAATGGGCTTTCATTGTATTGGGCTGGGCAGCAGATCGGCTTCCTTTTGGGAAAAAAAAAAATAAATATATTTACATTTTGTATTGGGCCATAGTTAATAAAATTAGAATCTATTTTATTATGTATTTTGGGTTGGATTGAATTGTAATATGTAAGTTGGTTTGAAAATGTTTTGGGCGAAACATATTGTAATACGCTATTTTTTAATTTTATGTATTTATTTATGGAACTATTTTTCTTATTTTATTTCTATTTAAAATACTAGTATTTGTACTTGTGCGATGCACGGAATGAATTTGTTGTAATATATTAAGAATATATGAATCGATATATAATTATTTAAATTAGAACATCAAATATTATATAGTGCAATTAAAGATATAGTTTGGATCGTTTATATATGTTGATGTTATCATTGTTTGTATTTGTGCAAATAATTGCTCAAATTAATAGCTAATGTCTAGATATACGCATGCGGTGCTATAACTTTGAAGATTTTATTTATTGTTTAATATTTTCGTAAATTAGGCAAATGTACTCGTTCTCTAACAACTCAGTTATTATATAAATGAATTGCTATCGTTATCCATTTGTATGGAAGATATATTTTTTTGTCTAGACATATAACAATTTTTTCATTTAAAAAAAAAAAAACTTAATAGCACCGATTATATTTACACATTATTGAAACCTCTTTGTAGATGACATTGGTAGTGGCAACACAATCTTGTTCATTTTCGTCTAGAGTTAACACCTTCAATCTAGCAAAACAGATTACTTGGGTGAAAATATATAATGGTACAATATCACTCAATTAGTTATCTTTTTATATTTTCAGTCAATTAGTAACATCAGATTCATTTTCAGCCAATTATTCTTTTTTATTTTTAGTCAATTAGTGAATTAAAATATCAAATTTAGTGATATTTTTACCTAATTTGCGTTCCATTTTTAATTGATGATATAGATATTATTATTGAAATATTACCGTTTCATTTTTAATTTACATTTACTATTGTTTAAAATATGCATTTACTATTGATAATGTAAAATACTATTATTGAAATATTTTCCTCCAATTTTTAATTTCCATTCCATTTTTAATTAAAATGCAATGATCTGACCATTTCTTCTTTTTTTAGTCAATTATGAATCATTTTTTATTTGCAGTCAATTATTGATATTTATTTCTTTTTATATTTTCAGTCAATTAGTAATATTAATTCATTTTCAGTCAATTATTATTTTTTATTTTCAGTAAATTAGTCAATTAGAATATAGATGCAGTGATATTTTTACCTAATTTTCGTTCCATTTTAATTTGATGACGTAGAGTAGTATTAATTTTATTAATTTAATTAGCCTTTTGACTGCTTCAATAGGTTGAGAAAGTTTACATGTAACAGGGTCAATCGAATAGTTATGTTGTGGAACTGTGTCCACCTTGCAAGGTATACACAGTTCTATGTTCATAATTACTGAACTATATGTTCATTATTATAAAGTTATATATATTCATAATCTTTGAACTTAATATTCATAATTATTGAACTCTATATTCATAATTATAGAACATTATGTTCATAGTTACCGAACTATATGTTCATAATTATAAAGATATATATTCATAATTTTTGAACTTCATATTCACAATTATTGAATCTCTATATTCATAATTACATAACTATATGTTCATAATTATGTTCACAACACTATGTTTATAATTATAGAAGTACATGTTCATAATTTTTGAACTATATATTCATAATTATGAACAATTTTTGAACCGTATTTACCTTGCAATGTAGATAGATTTCCACAGCATAATTTGTCAGGTCAATAGTACTAAAAAAAAAGTCTTTGGACTTCTCAATACTTGCCCACATTGATGGGCAGACAATTATATAGAGGAGCTCAAAGAGCTCCTCTTTCCAAACATTTTCAATGTGGGATCAAAATGATCCCATATCATTTACAAAGGGGATCCACATTTGTCTTTCTTCTTATTTTTTTTTAAATTTTATTTTTATTTTGTATATAGTTTTGTTTGGATTATTATTATTATTATTATTATTATTATTATTATTATTATTATTATTATTGTTGTTGTTGTTGTTGTTGTTGTTGTTGTTGTTGTTGTTGTTGTTGTTGTTGTTGTTGTTATTTTAATTTTAATTTTATTTTAGTATTATTACATTATTACATAGGTTTTTTTATTATACTTGAAGAATAATAGTATCAATTATATTATAGAGTATATTACCATACATAATATTACCAATTATGTAATATTACGAATTAATAGATTTTATCTAATTTCCATTTGAGATTTACTTACCAAATAAGCTTTACTACAAAAGTTCGGGCGGAAAAATGAAATAGGATGATTTTATTTTTATATATAAATAATAATAATAATAATAATATTTAATATAATATATAATATATATAAATCAATTATTACCCTAATATATAATTTATAATTCTGACTTTAAAATTCTTCTTATTATTATTAACATTAACATTTGATTAGTTTTATAAATTACGTGTAATTTATATATGCACTATGCATAAATTCTAAATTTCCTGGTATAATAATATTCTTCTTCCACACACACAAATACACACACACACACACACACAAATACACACACACACACACACACACATACAAAAATGCCCCTAAGTTTTGGGGAGAAAATTTGGCTAGGATGATTTTACTTTTAATTTTATATATATATATATATATATATATATATATATATATATATATATATAGAAGGAGAATCATATAGGAACCTATCTTTAGGTGGGAACCTAGGAACCAATCTAAACCTTTTATTTTTATTAATCTATGGTTCATGTTTAATTATGTGGTTAAACGTTTTTTTATCGCTGATTGAAGTATACTATGGGCTAGCAGGGGTATTTTTAGAACTTCATATGTTATTACGCGTGTGGAAGGTGAGTTTTTTTTTTTTTTTTCGCTAGATCTTCGCATTCCGTACTGAATTGTCGTAGTTGGACTCCGCCGAATCGCTGCTGCTTTCTCTGACGCCCAGACTGCTTCGGCGGCAAAGTGTGCCGCCTCCGACGTTTCTTCCGTTGCTGCCGTTGCCGCGGATTCCCATCAGTGGAGTTCGTTGCGTTTCTCTAGGCATAATTTTAACGGGCACCACGATGGATTGGCGGAATACATTAGCACCAACTTGCGCTCCGATCGTATGTAGGATTCATTAGCGATTTGGTTATCCTGTAATTCTTGTTTTAGTGTGGTTATCCTCGATCAGATCAGTTTGCATACTACTAGATTGAATTTTATGTTCAATTCGTTGAGTTTACATACAGTTCATGCTCATTTATCAATTAATTATATATATCATATGATTGGATGTTTTAATGGGCAATTTTTCCTTTCATTGTTGTTCTAAAGTAGGGCTCACACAATTCATCCTAACAATACATCAACTAGTGCCTCATTTTTTTGGTTAAGTAATTAGTCCAGCACGTGTTGGCACAGACAAGATAACCTAGATGCACACTATATTTTATCATGGCTGCTTGGTAGTCTCTCTGGTTGGATATTATGGCACACACATATCTTCATGAGTGCACTCACAAATGTTTAGCATTTGTCATACACTTTTCTTTTCCCCGAATGTTGGTTTTTCTAGATCATTTAATTGACATTGTTTCCTTGTGCTCTTTGCCTTGTGCTAGAAAGATTTGTTATCTGTGTTCCTGGATGATGTGGTTGATGAGCGGTATGGGGCTGCTGTACGGAGGATTACCCCGAGAAGGATGCAGATGCACTTGCACGATGCACATAACAAAGTGGATTGTAGTGTTTTCTCAATGCGGCATATGAAGACCTTTTTGGGACAATCAGTGAATGCATGGGATTGTGTTCTGTAAAAGGGTGATATTAAGGGTCTTACTTTGTTGAGGATGTCTTATATGCGCCAGATCTTGACGATTGAGATTAATGTTCACCAGTCCAAGAACATTCGTAGTGTAGTCGGATACC